ATATATATATATATATATATATATATACATACACACAACTTGAAGGATCGTGTCGATCTGTATATTTATATATAAAAATCTTTGAGGGATGGTATCGATCTGTACACAATTCAATCCACTGCCAATTAATTATTTATAATAATTTGTTTCATTGTCATTTAGGATTTATGACCAATTTTATATTTTTTTTCTAGATTATTGAATAAATTAATGAATTATTTAGATAAATATGTATACCCGACTCATTCGATGAATTATTTATTGAGTATTTTTTATGATCGATATTTTTCAAAATATTTAAAATAAAAGTTAAAAGAGTATTTAAATTAATAAAAAATATTTTATATTTTATAAGCAATTAAAATACTTATTATTAATATTTTATCTATTTTTTATGACATAATATTGAGAGGGATGTATAATATTTTTATTTAATTGGAATTTTGGATATTTTTTTATTTGTGAGATGATAATTGAACCACAAGAAATAGTGGAGGCCAAATACGACACGTTGGACAGCAAGCCAACGTCATTATTTCCGAATAGAAAAATTATTTATATTCTTTTTTAAATTAAAAAAACAAGAATTATGATAATAAATAAATAGATGGAAAAAGAAAATAATAAAATTTAGCAAGCATAATGGTCTCTCTTCCCACCTTCCACCTTTAAAATATTTAACAAAATAAATAATATATATATATATATAATAGAAAAAAGTAAAAATGTTCGAATTTATTATATTTTAATATCCACGTGTTCAAATATTCCATCCTGTTAAAAACAAGGCAACAAAATATAAGAAAATAAATAAATAAATACGAGATAGGTTTTATTTGATAAGAATTTGTTTTCTATTTATGTAATTTTTATAATTTTAAATTGACTAAATTAAAATAAAAATAGATTTTATATGTTATTTTTAAAAAGACTAAAATAAAATAATATATATTTATGTCATTCTATTACGATTAAGTTCAAAATTAGTATCTAGGTATACCTTCTTTACCTATCTAAATTTGAAAATTAATTATTTTTTATAATGCTAAATAAATAAATTAAAAAATTTAAAAGTTAACTTAAATCCAAATATTGCTTTTTAAAAAATATATTTTTTATATTAAAATTTAAAAAATTATATATATGTTTAAACCCCTCTAAATTATGTCAATTTTCATTTTAATTGAATAAAATTATTTATCTGTAATTAAAAAGAACTCTGAAAGATAGACGAGGAAACCTACCATACTATTACGAGAAAGTGAAGAAAAAAAATGACGAGTCTAGAAGGGTATCTCACGAGTTTGGAGGGAATTTGTTATTCGAACGGTTTTGTTGATAAGTTTGTCCCCAAACATGAGTTTGTATTTGAAACTTAATCCCACTCGAACTAAACCCGTGTCTCGATGGGTCGGGTTATCTTTACTTTACCTAGGAATAAATAATTAAAAAAAAAAAAAAACATGGCCATCCATTCCACTTAACATAAATAATTTTTTTTTTTTTTTTGGTAGAAAATCATTAGAAAAATTAAAAGTAAAGAAAAAAAAAAAAAAAGGGACTGGGCCTCGGGAATCTTACAGAAGAGACGCAGAGTGATAGTGGTTGAGAGCGAGAGCCTTTCTTCTCGCTCTTCTCCTTCTTCTTCCTCTCTCCCTGTTCATCTCTTACCAGTTGCTACCAAAAAACACGGACCAACGAAAACCTCCCCGGCATCATGAACCACGACTCCAAGCGAAGCAATCCTTCTCCTCTAATGGTCAAGCCTGAATCTGAGGATCGCAAACCCTCCTCTGCTGCTCCTGTCGGCAAGAAAATCGTCATCAAGAGCGCTGATATGTTCGGAGACATGCAGAAGGAGGCTGTCGACATTGCCATAGCCGTTAGTGCTTCTTTCTCTTGAAATAACTACTCATAATCTCTTAGAAAATCTGTTCCTTAAGTAATTACGTCAGAATCTGTTTTGTTTTATTGTTGTTTAGGCATTTGAGAAGCATTCCGTCGAGAAGGATGTCGCCGAGCAGATTAAGAAGGAGTTCGATAAGCGGCATGGTCCGACCTGGCATTGCGTCATCGGTCGTAATTTTGGTAGCGTATTTCACTCTCTCTGTGAATCTCTAGCTTCTTGCTTAATTTTCCCTTTATCTCAGTCTGATGGATCAAATCGTCATGAATTTCTGTTGCTTTAGTCCCTTAGAAGAGATTGTGTTACCTCTAGTTCGATCTTTAGCTTATTTCCCCTACTGAAATGGAGATCTACCTTTTAATTCTGTTCTTTTTCGGGATTCAGACACCATTAGCCCGATTCTTCTGTCAGGCTCCACCACTTAGCAGGAGCAAGATTTGCCTGCATAGGCAGTTTTAGCCCAGTTGTGTTAAGTACATTGAAATTACATATATTCTTGCATCACTAGATTATTGGCTCTATTGGAGGAACTCTTTATTGAATTTGCTAGCTAATTCTCAGCTACAGCAATCTAAAACAATCTCAATGGATTCTGCTATGGTGGCAACCAGTGGGTGGGGGCTCCTCCATGAAACTTGATGATGGGGCCATCTAACTTTGGGGCATAGGACCGTTTGGAACTATGCGAGTTGAATCTTAGGCTCAAGTGTTCTATAGGGACAAAGACGGATTTGTTTTGAATAGTACTTTTGGGTTCAAATCTTCCCATTGTTCTTTTGGCACTTATAAACTAGCTGAATTCACTGTGATATTGTCTCTTGAGTCATTATGGTATCTGTAATCTATATGGTTCTGTTCTGTTTGCTCAATGAAAGGTAGGAATCAAGATATATGTCTCATGTTTAATTGAAGCATAAAATGTTCAGTTCTTGTTACTTTTCGGATGCAAGGGACTGCTTTGATGAGATACAGGAACTGCAATCTCTTTTTTTCTGTGTGCTGCTAGGGAAACAGACAATTCTTATAGGCAAAAGGATAAAAGCTAGTATAAGATTTAGAACATGCCATTCTAACGCTAAATACTTTAGCGTAATTTGGTATGTAACTTGTAAGTGGGCAGTGCTCCCTCTCTTCGTTTCCGTTACCTTATAGTGCCAGAAACGTTCCTTTATATGGCCAATCTATTCATCCCAAGCCTTGAAACATCCCGGTGGTATTAATGATCCATTTAGTTTTTTTCATTTTGGCTGAGCGAACTCAGTTGTTAGCAGTACACTCCTAGCTGTAAAAATTGCAAGCTCTTGTGGTTATTACGTTACTATAGTTCCAGTTGCTCCCGTATCTCCAAGAATGTTGCAGTGCATTGTCTTGTTCTTGACTATTGAGCTTTATTCGGTCATATGTCCCTTTCTAGTAGAGATTGTCCTCTTTGGGCTTCCCTTCTAGGTTTTAAAACGCATATGTTAGGAAAAGGTTTCTACGCTCTTATAAAAAATGTTTCGTTTCCCTTTCCAACTGACGTGGGATCTCACAATCCACCTCTCATGGGGGCCAGCGTCCTTGGTGGCACACTACCCGGTGCTTGGCTCTGATACCATTTGTAATGGCTCAATCCCACCGCTAACAAACACCCTTACAAGCAATGCTTTGTTCCGCTTTCCAACCGACGCGGGATCTCACACTATTTGTGTTTGTTTTTTTTTTTTTTTTTTCCTGAATTAAATTAATATCTCAGACGATTCTATTTTCTGCTTTATGTTTCAGGTTCCTATGTGACACATGAAACCAACCATTTTGTTTACTTTTACCTGGATCAAAAAGCAGTCTTACTCTTCAAATCTGGTTGATAATTGTTCTTCCCTTGGCAAGCCTGCAATCACAATGCTACGATAAGTTCTTGTATGTATAATCTATGTAAATCACTTGGTGTAGCATTTTTCAAATTATAACTAAATATATCACTGAGGGAGTAGATTAAATGAAATTCAATCTGCCATTACATAAATCTCTCAAAGGGTTTCCTTGTTGCTCTCATTAAAACAGAAGGTTGCAGTACAAAAAGGGAGGGGATGCTTGTTTTTAATGGGTTTTTGGTGGTTAAACTTTCAATTATTGGCTCTGAAATAAGCCCTGGAAGCCGATGATCTATAGAAGAGTAAATGCACCATTTTGTACTATTGCTAAAGAAAAGGAAGGACTTAAATTAAAAGCTCTCTCTTAAAATGAGATTCTGAAAGCAGATTTCTGTTGATTCATTACTATTATTACAATGTTTTGTTCTTACACACCTTATCAGGCCTACCCTGGGGATGATCTTTGGGGCCTGTTTGACTACTTTCTTAGTTGACTACTTTTTTAGACGAAAACAACTCTCCACAGTGGCATTGGCATGATAGCATGATATTCTCCCATGGGCTTCCCAAAGACCTCACACCAATAGAGAGAATATTTTTTTGTTTATAAACCCATGATCGTCGATGTGAGACTTTCATTATCCAACAAAAATATTTTCAATTAATATACGAAAGAGGATAAAGATTTAGACAAATACTTAATAAATTGACCTAAAACTTGATATTTTCTTGTCATTCTCTAATTTACAGCTCACAAACGCATATTTCTTTTCGAAAATAGCTACTTTAATTATATCAAAGAAAAAAATTACTTTATTTAAATAATTATTCTTAATTTTACTCTCAAATTTCAACACATTACTGTCAACCCGTAATTACACGGCACCTTCTTTTTGTAGTATGTGATTTGAATTAAACCAAACTATTCAATTATATGAATTTACTATTTTTGTTCGAAACATTTGGTATATTTTTTTTCCCTGTGGAAATGTATTTTTCTTCTTTAATTTTTATATCCTTCAATTTTTTTATTTATTTTTGTGAAAATGAAGTTCATATGGAAAAAAAAAAAAAAAAACTCTATTTTGTTCTTATAAAAGATCATTTTCATTTTTCATATAATAAAAATAGAAAATATTGTAATAAATGTAATAATATTTCTAATTTCATAAATAAAAATAGTATAATATAACCTAACTATATATATATGTTTCTAATTCCATTCAAAACCGTTTATTTTCCAAAAACAAACGTAACTTTGCATATATGTTCTTTCATAATTAAACACCAATGCTTAACCCACAAAAAAAAAAAAAAAAAATTAAAATTAAAATTAAAAAAAGAAAAAACCCATCATGGAAATCTTTTTGCCTATTGAATCTTAAAAACACCCTTCTTTCCCAGCCATTTTTGGTGTGATGATCAGTAGGCAAAAGCTTGGGTGTGGTCTCTGGTAGGTCGAGGGTGGCGAGATGGCTGAGGCGAGGGACACGACGGCGATGTGGTGGTTTGTGGGTTAATGGCAGCCGCCAACGAGCAGTTCCCTGCTTCCACCATGCTCTGTTCTTCGTCCATGAAAATCTGCCGGCATCGACACTCCTCGCTGCAGAAACCCTTGTCTCCTCTGTGAAAAAACCCACGTCGTCAAAAATTACAATAAAAATATATTTTAAAATATAAAATCTTTTTCTAATGAGTACTTACTCGTACATGTAGATGTCTTTTCCGGGGAGGAGCTTCTGACCGCAGAGAAAGCAGCGGTCGAGATATCTTTTAGAAGAAGAAGAACGGTGGTGGCGGTGGCGGTGGTGGTCGTTGGCGTTGCTATTAATCATAATAAGAGTGGATTTGTTAATGACCTGACGAGTTGAGTCAGTAATGCCGAGTTTCCGCGTTTCTAAGATTGCACTGAGTCCGACCATATCTCATTCTTTCTTCCGGCGGACGGCGGGCGGTACGGTGGTGTTTCTCTCTCTAAGGCGGAGGGAGAGAGAGGGGGAACGTTGAATGAGGCGGTTGTGAATAGAAATTTAGATAAATAAATAAATAAAGAAAAAAAAGGGGATGGAAAAGGTGGGGCCCATACAGCTATATAGCTGTACGAAGCACGATTTGACTGCTTCTTCTCTTTTGCTGCCACGTTTCCCTTTTTTTCTTTTTTTTTTTAAAATTTTATTTCTCACTCTTTGTCGTTTTGTCTAATTCATTAAAATTACACAAATCAGCCCTTCGACTTTTTAGTTTTTTCAATCAAAGCCTTTTATTTGTCACATGATTGTTATTTTGATAAGTTTTGGGGCTTGTTTGTAAAATTAAAATTTCATAGGGTATGATTGTAACATTTATTCAAATTTAAAATTCAATACTGTAATTATAAAAACGCTTTCATGTTGTGTTCGTACCTTCTATTTCAATTTCTATATCATCATACAAATTTTTATTTAGTTTTGTTCGATCCGGTAGAGATTTACAAGAACGGACTCTAACTAGAATTTTTGTCTATTTATTTATTTATTAAAAAAAAGTAATAAACAATTTATATATTTCTATAAAATTTTATGAATTCAATAATATATTTCGTAAAGAATAAATTCTCGATTTTATTATTATTATTTGCATTTTTTAAATTAATTTTATTTTATGGTTTTTTTTAATACAACCACGTCTTTTAATTTTTTTTTAACAAAATAATATTAAAAGTTAAAAGATATTTTTGAAATTATTTTCATATTATTGAAATAATTTATTAAATAAAATAGACGAGTATTTTTATTAATTTAATATTTATGGATAAGGACAAAATGAAACTTAATATTCACAAATGGATAATATTATAAATAAAAATTATTAATTACATAAATCTTCCAATCACAACATAACACACAATACTCTTATAATCATTTCTAAAATGAAATTACGTGCAGAACTAAAAAGAGCTTCAAAAGCGTGTTTGTTGGGAGTGATGTTAATGCATCATTGATTTCACACGCAATCATTAATTTTAGAGTTTAAATTCAACATTAATTTGTTAATTTAAAATTAATTAATAAGGTTCACAACGTAATTTAACACTATTTTACTTTGAAGTAATAAATTAAAATAATTATTACTTTAAATATCATTATATTTAATAGTATTCACATTAATTTTAATCATAAATTAGTTTAAGATCTTTAATTATGGTGCATTATTCGTAATTATTGATATTATTAAGGATTTATGAACGAAATAATTAGTTTGGTTATGATGTGAAATATGCGATTGTTAGCTCTCTTATTTTGCATGCAACAATTTATTAAATATAATTGATAATAATTCATGGGCCATACTTTTTATTTTTTAATATATAATTTAAATTACGTCTAAAAAGAAAAGACGACATTCAATGAATGTAAAAATATTAATTTGATTTAAATATATATATTTATTTATTTGCTGAATTTGGGCTTGGGCTTAGTTCATTTTGGGCTCGAACTTTTTGTTGGACTTTTTCATTTCAAGCCCAATTTGATTGGGCTTCAAATGATTATTCGTAGTTGTGGGACGAGTCACACATCAACTAATTTAGGGAATGATCATGAGTTTATAATATAATCAAAGAAAACTATCTCTATTGGTATGAGGGCTTTTGGGTAAGCTCAAAGCAAAGTCACAAGAGATTATGCTCAAAGTGGACAATATCATACCGTAGTGGAGAGTCGTGTTCATTTAACATGGTATTAGAGTCATGCCAATAGAATCCTCATTACCATTGTGGAGAGTCGTGTTCGTTCATCTAACATGGTATCAGAGTCATGCCCTAAACTTAGCCATGTCAATAGAATCCTTAAATGTCGAACAAAGGACTCCAAAAGAAAAGGTCAAAGGCATAGTAAAAAATGACTAAGGCTCCAAAAGAAAAAGGAGTCGAGCCTCGATTAAGAGAGAAAATGATCATGAGTTTATAATATAATTAAGGAATACTATCTCCATTAGTACGAGACCTTTCGGGGGAAACCCAAAATAAAGCTACCAGAGATTATGTTCAAAGTAGACAATATCATACCATTGTGGAGAATCGTGTTCGTCTAACAGTAGTTAAAAGGTTTTTTTAGTGTACTGAGTATTCTTACATTTTTATGGTTGCCCTTGACCACATAGGGCAAGGCCGAAGAATATGTAAATTAGGTTAAAGTTACATCATACCAAATTATCCGTGCCTCCTCGAGAGGTAGATCATAGGATCAACGTCGTCTTCGTAGGCCAAGACTGACAAATTTTTATATTCTTCTTTGCTTCGTTGTCCGATCTCTTTATGTTGACCCAAATAATGTCCCATACGGAGATTCTTCTCGTAAGTTTGACCTCTCATTTTAATATTAACTCGAGTTTATTTATTTTTTTTGGTTTTAAGTTATTTCTGGCCACCACTGTAAATGATTATTACTTAAACTAATGACAAAATTAAATGCATTTAGTAAATAAAGTCAAATTAGGACGCTAAAGCTATAATGAAATAAAGAAAAATACAATTATAACCATAAATTCAGAAAAAAATTAAAAAGGTAACTATTTAATTTTAAATTTTTGTTTTTTATGAATTAAAGAATTTCCTTAATTTGTATCTTAAATAAAAATTGACTAAAAAAAATTAAAAACTAGAAATAAAAATTTTGAGTAAAATACATCATTTTTTCCTTTTAATAATAACAATACTGATATTTCATTAAATTTCTAAAGAGAATATAATATTTTATTTTATAACCTCTTTTGTTTTTTATTATTATTTATTTTCTAAAACAATATTTTATTAGTGAAAAAGATAAAGACAGCCTTTTTTTAGTTGCAGTTTGGAAAGTGCTTGAATTTGGATAAAGAAGACATATAAGCATTGACTCAAACGGATATGTACTCCAAGAATCACATTTTATCTTTAAATTCCAACAAAATTAAAATACTTTTTATTTATTATACTATTTTTAATTTATAAAATAAAAATACCCATATTATATTTTTAAATTTCATTCAAATAAAAGAATTTTTCTTTTTCTTTTATTTTTTATATCATATTTAGAAAAATTATGAGACATATTTTATTAAGGATTTTTCTAAATTCGGGTGGAAATTTGAACCCTTTAAATCCCAATTTTAAAATGAATTGTTTTTTTTTTATTAAAAAAAAAAGGAAATTACGCACGTGCGAACCCTTGATAATACACCATCTGGCAATTGCGCCTAAAAGCCTTCATTCAATTCAATCGAATTCTTCTTCTCTTTCTTCTTCCAAACTCTTACAATCGCGACACCTTCCATAATTTCTTTTCATCATTTGCAAGAAGCTCACTGTGATGTCGATTCTAATGATCAGCAGGAGGAAGATCTTTCCGACGAGTTCTTGGGCCGCCGGTTGTCGGTTACTCTTTCCGGTGGCCTTCCAAGGTCCATCTGCTTCAATCTCTCAGTTGCCGTCGGTGCAGACGCCCAAATCGCTTCCAGAGCCATATCGTACACTTGCATGCCCTAGTTTCTGTAGACCGGGGCTTCATTCGCCTGCTAATCGGTTCGAGGTGAGTTTGATGGTTGGTTTTTTATGCTCTGCTTGTTGTTTTCCTTCTGTTGTTAGCATTGGTTATTGTGATCTTAAAACTCAAACTCCATTTCGATTTTTTTGGATCCTGAGATAGCACCGGTGTCGATGACTATGTTTTGTTGTGTCTAATATTGTATCTGTCACAGCGAAGTCTTAAGATTAGAAATGAGGTATTTGATATGTAATTGCGGAATTGGTTCTTTTTGTAGGCGAGTATAAAAGGAGTTTCGAAGGTCTGTCGATTTTCAAGCCAGGCCTTGGACGGTCTTCCAGTTTTTAGGACGGTAGATGTACTGTTGGCTCAAACTGGTGAAGGGATTGCTGAATGCGAGCTTCTTAAATGGTTTGTGAAGGAGGTGAAACGCTCAATACCTTTTTCCCTCTTTCATGAGGGTTCTTTTTATCTTCTTCTGTTTCTTTTATTTGTATTTCACGTTTTATGATACCCTTCGTGAAAATGATTGAGACTTGGTTGATTTCTTCAAACGCTTATGTAATGCTCTACAGCTCAATTCGTTGTACATTGATTGATTGGACGATTTCTTGTTAAACGTAGATGAACATTTGTACTTAATCTCTTGGCAGGGGGAGGAAGTTGAAGAATTCCAACCAATTTGTGAAGTTCAGAGTGACAAAGCAACGATCGAAATAACGAGTCGATACAAAGGAAAAGTTAGTCGACTTCTATATGTTCCGGGTGATATTGTGAAGGTGAGGTTTCAACACTTAATTGTAATGAGTTAGAGCTCATGGAAACTTTTCATTTTTTGTTGGTGGAGAGTAGAAAGAATCTTCACGTATTGAAATGAATGTCTATTTTCTGGATAATTATTAAGTTGCTGGCGTATCAAATGAACAGGTTGCTATACATTTTGTTTCCTTTACATTAAAATGTTTTAGCTTGTGGGCTTCTAGGTGATGTCTAATTGTTTTATGTTGTAATTTTTAACCTTGATACCGTTTCGGAAAGAACATTGTCCATTCATGAAGAGGCACTTCATTGGTAATTAATAATAATATGGTATTCTAGAGATTAAACAGAAAAGATACTCTAATACTCTAAATGTTTTGTCAAATTTTATCACAGGTTGGAGAAACTCTTTTGAAACTACTTGTTGATGAATTCGAGGAAGGAACTCCGGTTTCAGGGTTAACTGAAGAGCATTTGGCTAAACCTGAATTAGTGGATTCTCAACTGGACAAAAGTAAAGGAATTGGAGTTCTGTCCACCCCAGCTGTTCGCAATCTTGCAAAACAATATGATATCGATATAAATGATGTCCGTGGAACTGGTACAGATGGAAGGATATTAAAAGATGATATTCTCCAGTATGCTGTCAAAAAAGGAATTATTGAAGAACAGCGTGTTTCTTCTGCTCCTAGTCCTAAAGAGCAATTAGTTGAATCAGAAAATTACCCGAATGCACAAGATGAAGTTCGGTGGAGCTACGAGGATAAGAAAGTTCAATT